CGTTCCCCCTGCCCGCTTCTTCATCTCCCTCTCTTCCTTTCCTTGCTGCTGCTACTGCTACTGTTGCTCTGGCCAGGTCTCCACGCATCTTCGATGGCTCGGCATGCTGGGTGTCCGGGCCCAAAGGGCCTGAAGCGCTGTCTGCTTTAGTGACTTTTGACTTTAGTGCTTTAGTGGCGGATAGGATAGGACCGGATCGGACAGGACAGGATAGGATTGATGTCATGTGAGTGTTGTTTCGCAGCAGCGGCTGTTGCATAAGAGCAACTGTGTGCACTTGCGTTAGCGATGCGATGTGCCAGGACTGGCCAACATCAACGGTGTGCACATATCACATGTGGCCCGGGGCTTATGTGGATTCGGGTCACTCTGGGAACTCTACTGACTCTAGTACTAGTAAGACTCTAGGTAACTCTAGCAGCTAGCAACTAGTAGAGCGGGTCTATTGACTCTAGTGACTCTAATGACTCTAGTGACTCTAGTAACTATAGTAACAAGTGCAAGTTACGAGGTGTCAAACTAACTTGTTTGCCGAATGGAACAGTCACCGACATTTGCGAGCTCATGTTGGTCAGGATTGCGATGCGGCACACGAGCGACATGAAACCCTTGGGACGACATGTCGGGATGCAATCTCAACTCACCGTCACAGTGAAAGTGAAAGCTCGCACATTCTTGCCCTCCCCCCCCCACGCAGCCAGCCTGCATTGAAGCGCAATGAACTCGCCCTCTGCAAGGCTTTTAGCTCTGCTGGCTGGCCGGCTGGATCCCAGTGAGGCAGCGAGGTGGTAGTGCAAGTTCCCAGGTGTCAAGCAATCAATTGGGTCAATCGGGAGAGGGTCGAGTAAGTATATATAATATACACATATATACTTATAATAGTATAATATGTGTATGTATATATATATATATGTGTATATATATATATATGTATAGGTAGACACATATATATATATATGTATGTATTCGAATGTTACTGTGTGTTTGGTGCCTTGTACTTTAGCTGCTAAACTTTAGCTTTAGCTCATTCGGGCACCTGCGATGTATGTATGTACCGGGCTCTGCCAACGTGGAGCTGGCCTCATGGTATGCATGTTCCGGTTGTACTCACTTCGACACAGACACTTGCCATAGGGTTCAGAGTTCAGATATACTATCAGATATACCTGTGTGCGGCCGAAGATCTGTCAAGAGCATCATTAGGTCATTAGGACCCGTTAGGAGGATGCTGCACTTTGACACTCAATAATAAAATAATATTCGCATCTGCGCATTCATTAGCGATTCCGGCAGGCGTGGAACAACTTCTATGCCATATGCCGTGATAATGGCGTGGGGCTCATGCTGGCTTGCTGCTGTTGCGAAACTCTTGCACCTCTGCAGCTTTGGCCGTGTGTTCGACCCGTCTTGAATCTTGAGAATCCGGATCGGGAGTGAGTCCCAGCAGTCCCAGCACTTGCAACGCGTTGCAAGGTACTTTCCAATGCTAACTTCACTTCTCCCCGATGATACCGTTTCTTTGCTGATGAGCGGGTTACCGCCGAGGTCTGGCAACTCCTGCCGAAACCACTGGTCACTGGTCGAGTCGAGGAAAAAAAGCGCAAGATTCGCGATTCCAGTTTGCCCACCCGTCGAAGAGGCAGCCAGGTATGTAAAGGCAGATTGGGCTGGGAGTCATTGTTTAGGTCTAGGTCCTAGGTCTAGGAGTCTAGGTAGAACTTAGATCAGCAGGTGGTTTGTTTAAGGAGGGGCCAACCAGGGTACTTGCGAAATCTCCGGAACCATTGCAAGCGGATCATGCATATGGCATATGCATGAGAGGCCCAACAGCGGCAATGTCGCCTTTTGTCGGGCACTGACTATGCGCATGCACTTGACTAGCACCACGTGCTGTTTTTTGATGCGAACCCACCAGGTCACCACTTGTGCTGGCAACTGGCAGCAAATGCCATAGATCCTCTAGGCCTAGCAAACGCAGGCAGACGTGTGTGACGTCGCCATGGCTGTGCAGTCCTCCATGCAGAAGTGGAAAGCTGCTGCACAGGATGAAATCATCCTTTCGCAAAAGAGTTCTGAGGAGATTCTCGAGGCTGATGCCATGAAGGAGGATTCAGCCTCCCGAGTCCCATCTGAGCAGGATGAGCGAGAGCAGGAGAAAGAAAACAGAGCTGTGCAACTTGGCAACCAAGCCAATGGTATTGTCATCGATGTGGAATGCACGTTTCCTCGCGAGGATAGTTGGTGGGTGAAGGAACTAAAGATGGCGACCGGCACACAAAATGTGAACCTAGCTCGGAAGAAACCTCTGCTTCTGTTGTCAGCCTGCTCCGGCATGCTCTCAGAGGCAAAAGTTCTGGAGGCCGGGTCTGCAAGGGTCTAGTGAAGATCTTTTGTCTGTTGAGGCTGTGCTGCCCTCATATATTGGCTTGACAATCCATTTATGAAAAGGTCTAGTTTTGGCGAAAGCTGGAAAGCACATTTCAGGATTCAGTTGGGTCCCATGGCACAAAGCTGCCATAGCTGCCATAGCTTCAAAATTCAAGGGATTCAAGGCTTGAGGCTGCAACTTCTAGAGTCTAGAGGCGATTTCCAGGCTCCAAGTCGCCAAGCCGCAAGCCCAAACCTTCCGCGGTGTGGTTGCAAGCGAGCCCACGATTCGAGACTTGTTCAATGAGCCCGTGAAGTCACACAGATCCTGACAAAAGTTGTTCTTTCTTCATGTACTTCATGTAGACGTAGAGGATCCAATTGTTAAAAACACAGGCCGCAGGTCCTAGCCTTCCTGATTCGTCAGTGGCCATTATCATTAGATTCTACTAGATTGAAGGTCCTGGACTTTTAGAGTCTTAGAGATCTTCAGGTTCGTTGTTTCCTGCCAATAGCCATAGCCAACTCCTGCTTTGTCAGATGCTTCGCATTCCGTACGAATGCATCGGCGCATCTGATCCAGATGCTGAGTGCCAGACCTTCATCAAGGCTAACTTTGCTCCATTGCATTTGCACAAAGATATGGTAGAGCAGGCAAGTTCTTCAGCATGCTTGATGCACGGCGATGCAGGGAGCTGTTTGTCACATCGGTTTGCAAGCATTGACTTCTTTCACCTTGGGACGCCGTGCCCCCCTTTCTCGAAGCACAGGGCCAAAAGATTTGCGGACGGTTCTGTGGCTGGCCACAGAGACACGGCCACGACAAAGCAGGTTGTGGCATGGCTTCAGGCTTTCGAGCCCCAGGCTGGCTGTCTGGAGCAGGTGGCAGGCTTCGGTATGGCAGAGTCGGAGGAGGACACAACATCTCCATTGGAGAGGCTGGTCGCAGTTTTCTGTCGAGCTTGATTGAGATTGTAGGTTCAGCTGCAGACTCAGGCACCTCAGAGTTTTTCCAGCAACCCTAGCCGCCCTAGCCCGAGTTATAGTTCAGCCGCTGGTAGGTTTCTAATTACTTTTTCCTAATTCTTAGTCTTAGTCCTGATTGTCCGAATTGAAGCAGGTTAGGATGATTGATGGGTACATGAGGAAGGCTTCTCACAAACAGACTGCACATGTGAGCTTGTGTCCAAGGCGTCCATCATTAATAATTCAGGAATGCATTCCCACATGCAGAAAGCTTGCATTGTGAGACCAGTCTGCCCTTCGCCCTTCGTTTTTTCCACAGCCCCTCCTTGCACTCTGAAGCTATCCCTCTGTCCGATCAGCTTGTTTCCATCCAATGCAGGTTTATGTGGGCAATGGATGCTGCAGAGTGGCAGCTTGGTGGCTACCACATCTTTGTGCACAGCATGGATCTCACCGCGTGGGTCCACTTGAGTCGGCCCAGGACAGTTTTCCATTGCGGCTATAAAGCTTTTGTGGGTTTCTTCAGTTTCCAAATGCTTAAGTGGTCCAAGTCCCAGGTCCTTGACCTTGAGGAGCAGTTATGTTTGTTGGTCAGAACACCATGACGGAACACCGTGATGTCAACAGAGATGTCAAGCCTAGATTGCCTTGGAGCCGTAGCCCTAGATCCCTTACCTCAAGGAGCCACAACTTCGGTCCTCGAAACGCTCGAAACATAACCCACGGAGCCTCTGCCGTTGTTGTTCGGTTGATTATACGGATTTCAGGGGAGCATCGCAGATATTCCTAGGTCCTAGGTCCTAGGTCCTAGACTCTCAGACCTAGACCTAGACTATACTAGACTCTAGAGTTCCTCTAGTCACTCTAGTCACTCTAGTCAACTCTAGTCACTAGTCACTCTATAGTCACTGGAGACTAGAGTGACCAGAGGAACTCGTGTGTGGCTTCTTCTAGGTCTGTGCATTTCAGGTTGGTTCAAGATTCAAGGCATTCAAGGCCCTCATAGTCCCAGGAATCCAACAACGTGTTATAATGTGTTCAAGATTCAAGATTCAAGCTTCAATCATCAATGGAGCCAGTTTCGATTCTGTGGTTCCTCATATCTTCGACAAGGGAACCGCGAAACAAGGCCCAAGCCTTCCCACACATTTGGAGGGCTTGCTTGCGTTTCGGTTGAGTCGGTTAAGTGAAGGGGCCAGTGAAACCCCAGCAGCACCCAATTTACCACATTACCCTGAATTCTTGATTCCTTGACAGGTTGGTATATCATATCAGTTTCGTGCATCCCTCTTTCGGTCCTTTCGCCTGTTCCCAGAGCCAGCATGCTGTTCCCAGAGCCAGCATGCTGCCGTGCCAGGCCCCAGCTTGTAGCAGTACTAGATTCCTAGATGAGCTCGATGCAAAATCTAAGTTAAGAAAAGCAAGGCAGCTGTCTGTACTCAGCAGGTCCAGCAGGTAAAATGTAAACACATATGCAGTGTGCATTCTTTTCGTGGACTGACCATAGTGCCATAGTGACTAGTGACTAGTGACTAGTGAGCATTCATTCATTTTCCCTTTGCGAGTGTTTTGGAGAGGTATGATTGACACATGATGCATCCCTTGCTTCTCCTGTCGAGTGTGACCGGAGTTATTTGCCCTCGAGTGAATGGCTGCATGGTTTTCAGGCAGCCTCGAGATTCTTGAGCTTGCCACTGCGAGTGCTACAGATGTCGACAATCAGAATAACCCGGCTTCAGCTGCTGAAGTGGCACCGATGCCGCACCTGGACCTGGAGGCAAACCAGAAGCCCAAGTCACGCAGAGGGAGGCCACATGGATCTCGCTCTATGCGTGCTGTTCTCGAGGCCAACCCGGACATGCGTTGTGCAAAGCCTGCCGTTCCTAACGTGGCAGACCAGCAGCCAGAGCGTTTTACCCTTCCGTTGGCTGTGGTGCCTGGGCCTCGGCCTGCGACTGAGACAGGCATTCATGGGCCAACTGACCCAGCTGATGCTGCAAATGTGGCAGATGAGCCAGATGAGCAGGCAGAGTCTTTTTCCCTGCCCTTGGCTGTAGTGCGTAGGGCTAGGGCGGCCAGAGCTGCGACAGGTCTCAGCCTTGTGAAGAGTTCAGCGGCAGGTCAAACATGCCCCACAGTCACAAGTCTACTGAGCCAAGCAGGTGCACCGTTGCTTCAGAAAGTGTTTGCACTTTTGGCTTCGGCTGATGTTGTTGAGCAGCAAAGCACTGGTGGTCTTGCAGGGGCCGTTGCTCAAGCGATGGAACAGGACAGCTTCACTAACATGGTCAAGCTCGAGGAAGTGGACGACAACAGTGACAATGACAAGGCAACTGTGCTCTTAGTCTTGCGGCAATCGTTTCGTAATCCAGTCTGCCATCTCAAGAGTCTCTCGGCATTAGCTGGTGACCTCAATCTTGCACGGTCGACACTTTCTCGGAACAAACAGGCAGTGGCATGTGGGATCACCACGGCCATCAGTGTTTCATGGGGGTGCTGTTTGGCTCGTGTGGGATATGCGATCGACAGCAAGGTCCTGAAAAAACATTTGCTTGTCAAGAAGCGAGTCTATGATGAGACGCCGTTTCGGATGCGCGTGAAAAAGCAGCAGCAGCAGCAGCAGCAGCAGCAGCAGCAGCGGCAGCAGCAGCAGCAGCAGCAGCCGAAAAGTGTTGTGGCCAAGACCCTTCAAACCCGCTTCTCACTTGGCATGTTGCTGGAGCATGTCCCGACAAAGTCGATGATCTTCCTACGTGGCCTGGTTATCACCCCTCTCCAGGTGGTACAGAGAACAAGAGCTGAAGATCTTTTTCGGGCACAGACAGCAGTGGAGAGATTGGTCCCAGGTTTGGACAATGCGGCCAAGGATTTTGAGACAACTATACAGTTGGTGACCACAGACCGCTATTCAGCGAACAATGTATGTGAACAAGCCATGACCTTCGCGAGTGAGGGGCAGGCTCGGATGCACTTTTGGTGCGATGTGCACCGCCTCAGCACTTGCAAGACATGGCAGCTCGCCATAGTCGATTCTCATGTCAGTGCCATGATCAGCTTGTCCTTGTTGATGAGGGAATGTGGCGCTTTGGAGCAGATTCACGACTGCATGAAGCGAGTTGTCGAAAACCGGCTGACTGTTGAGTATGACACTCCTCCAGCTGGCCAGGTAAAGGAGCACCGAGAAGCAGTGTTGAACTTGCTGCTCGGTTCAAACCTCACCAAGAAGCTTGGTCAATGTCAGTGCCAGAGATCCTTTTGTGCTTTTTTCGTGGTTTGACGGTTTGACTTTGTTAAAACCGCCTCTGACTTCAGCAAATTAGGAACTTGAGCGATGGGACTTTAGGACCTTTAGGACTTTAGGATTCTACTCATTCTAGTCATCTAGTCTGGCAGATTCTAGCAGTTCAAGCATTCAGCAGGCTCTGTCACTGGCCGTCACATTCAGCAGGCTCTGTCACTGGCCGTCACAAGCCACTGTAGCAATAGTTTGCTTCTCTTTCTATTTTCCAACTTTTCTCAACACCACCAGATGAGCTTTCCTTCCTCTTTTGAGATTCTAACCAACAAGGAAGGAGGACTCCCTGACTGTTAAGAGAGCCCGCCAACGGGCCATATTGACTTTGCTCTGCAATGGGGATTGGGAGTCAGAGAACATCGTCTATTACAGTCCTCAGCCTGTGGAGAAGGCTGAGGTCCTCAGGCTTTATGGAAGCATGGTAATACCGTCGTTGCTTCCTGCTGCAATCAGCTTGTTCCCAAGGCATCGCTGGCATGGAGGAGAGGTAAGCATCGATGAGACAGCCCTCCTGTTTGCAGTTCACAACATAGGAGGCCAAGCTTTGCAGCTGTTTCTCGGTGGTAGGTCCCCACCTTCAGCAGGACTCCAAGCCGAAGCCGGGCCCAGCGACGACGATGGTGGCGGTGTTGGCGACATTCCTCTGGATTCCGAGCCTTCCACCACAGAGGACAAAGACCCTGGAGAGCTGCCTGTTGTAGACGGCCATTTTCCAGAAGGTGTTGCAGCAGATGCCAAGCAAGGCCAAGGCCAGGATCCAGCCCCGCAAGATGCAGCCGCACAGGCTGCAGCTGCATCTGGGGATGCCATGCCGAACTGGAAAGATTTGAAACTGTCGATGAAGCGTTTGGTGCTGGCGTGGATAAAAACCCAGCCTGGTGCAGTCTTGATGCTGACACGTGCCACCATGCAAGCGGGTGTCCAGCTGATGAGGAAAATGCTGCATTTGGCCAGTTTAGCCTGGGAAAAACAACAACAGCTTGAAGCTAGTCGGGGCAGGCCCCGAAGCTACCGCGTCCTGGAGGCCTGGCAGAATGACGATGTCAGGTCAGCGTTTACGGCTTTGCGAGATTGCTTTCATAGCCCACTCCCGGCTTTGCCATTGACAGCTCGCACAAATTCAATGAAGGTCCTTGGATTCCGTTTACTTGCACGTGTGGCTGGAGCCCTGCATTTGCTGCTACGAGTTACTCGTGCTGGATTCCCCCACAGGTTGATCAGTTTATTGCAGCCTGCGACATCGCAAGAACGACTGGATCTTGCCGAAAAGCTGTTATCGTCTCCAGCTTGCCTTTGGGATCATGCAGCCAAGCATATTTTGGAGAAGTTTCCGACGCCTCAAAAGCTGACAAGTACAGTTGCCACTGCGACCTTGCAGGCCCTTGCATTGATGGCCGAGAATGATGTTGTGTCTATAGAGACAAGGCATGCTGCAGCAAGAAGACTTTTGATGGCAAGGCAACAGACCTGGAGCACAGCCTTCCCCGACCTGGCTGCCGAACATCTTTGCAGGCAGGCCAGGGCAGAAATGCACGACGTTTTTGGGAATGTGTCCGTCAATTCAAAGCAGTCAACCTCTAGAAAGAAGCGGCAGTTGCCAAAGAAAAGACGACATGCGAGAACGAACAAGCGTGGCCGCAAGCATGACAGAGTGGAGAAGCGAGGCGGAGGTGCTCAGAGGGCTTTTTTCCATGAGAGGCTTCAGCTGGCAACGAAGGATGATTGGAAAAGCAGGGGCCGTCTCTTCAGTAGACTGCATGCCGAGTTCAAGAATCTCACAGCTGCGCAGCTGCAACATTACAAAGACTTGGGCGAGATGGGCAAGCTGGCGGCCCGGCACGGTGGACGTCCGTTTGTGCCCCCAGCTAGAGAAAGCCGCGCTGCAAGTGAGCGGAGAATGGTCCCAGCCAGCGAGTTCGAGCAACTGGCCCTGACAACAGTTCAAGCTGCTGAAAACAAGGCTGTGGCACAGCAAAGGTTGCATCTTTCGAAAGCTCGGGCCGATGCAGTTGAACTTCAGCAGTACCAGTGTGAGCATGCTTTCCAAAGTCATGGACTGGTGGATACTTTGCCTAGTTCATGTCGCCCAGTGCAGACAGAGCCTGGCAGTCTGCCTGCTGGGTACTTCCTTCCAGATGCTGTGGGCCTTTCCGAGGCTTTGTGTGATGTCATGTGTGGCTTGTGACAGACGTTCTTGGATTCCACGCTAAGCTGCTATCTGCTGTAGTAATGTAATAAAGTTAATAAAGTACTGTAGTCTCAAGTCAGGAGAAGTTGAGGCTTTCCCAACAAAGACCTTCAGTCCCCTTGAAAGCCGCATGTCAGCTCCGCAGGCTGCGTTTGAGAAGGATGTTGCTGCTTGGGGCAGCCGGCGGTATCGTTTGAATGAAATGCTTCTGAGGGAGTGGACTTCCTTGACAGACATGCCAGCAGAAGCTATGTTTCCTGAGAATTTCAAGCCCGAAGCTGCTGGTACAACGTGCCAAAAGTTCGGAAGGTGCGTTTGCACGAACAGGGAAGGTGCGGAGCAGGCCGAGGATTCCTTACACTTGCACAAGAAGTTTGTTCGCCTCTTCAGGCCGTACATCATTTTGAAGAAACTGCCAAGGCGTGGGGCTGATGCACAGTCCAAGCCAATCCCCAGCAAAGAAATGCGAAAGCCGCCGACACGTGTTTTGCTTGACAAATCTTTCTTGATCCTGCGTTTTTTCCTTCCAGCAGAAGTGCAGCGACGTTTGGATGAACCCCAAATGCCCGGGATGCATCATGCCTGGAAGGCAGCATTGGCCAACATCAGCAACACCACCAGATCCAAGGTCAAGTTTAAAGAAGTTTGGCTTCATGTCAGCTATTGCAATCTGCAGACGATGATGTTCGTTTTCCTGCGATTGGATAGGGACGATACTGTGTCACACGACACTTTGGGCAATCCTGTCATTCGGCTGAGGGTTCCAGCTGAGCCAGAGGTCACGACCACTGTGGAGGCTTTTCAGAACTGGTTGCCGTTGGAATTGCCCTGGAATGTGTCGTTCTGGGGCATCGACTCCTCCTCGAAACCCATGGAGGATGAGCTTCCCAACACAGTGGATGTTCGTTTGTTGGCAAATGAACAGCTGCAGGTGTGGTTGGGAAGCCAGACAGAGGCCAGGCTGCGCGATGAGGCCGAGCGGAGATCAAAGAAGAGAGAAACAGCTGGTGCTAGCAGGGGTCAACGATCCGAGACTGGACACAGGTCCGGCAAGCGTCGCAAACTCCAGCGTCCTTTGGAACCTCAAGCCCTTGAGGAACCTTTGCCAGAGGACACACAGGATGGTCTTCTTGAGCAGCCTGGCATGGACTCTCTGGAACCAGAAGCCCTTGGGGCTTTGCCAGAGGCTGCACAGGATGATCTTGTTCAAAGACAAGATTGGCAAGATGACCTGTCAGACGACGAGAAATTGGAGGATGATGAGGCATTTGAAGAAGTGTTGGAGGAGGAACAAGTCATCGAGGCCAGACAGTCTCGCCTGAGACATTATGTGAATGTTTTGGAGGCCAAGCAAGCTAGGGCGGATGTAGTGGAAAAATCCAAGGAGCTGGCTTCAGCAAGTTCAGGCTTGCTTCGGGAAGATGTGCCCCAAGCAGCCCAAGCAGGGGGTGAGCCTTCTTCATCTTCCTGTGCACGGCCTCCGAAACCAAATGCTGCCCGCCCAGTGCTTGAAGTACCAGCAGCTCCTGAGGCTGAGCATTCACATCCGCCGGTCGAAGCTGCAAGACCAGAGGCTGGAGCAACACGAAAAAAAGGAGTGAAAGAAGAGGTCATCTGGATTGTCCATGGTGGTGTGTGCTATGGGAGCCTGCGGTTCAATCCGAAGGGCAAACGCATCACTGCGCACTGCGAGACCGAGGGCCATTGCCAGGAGCAGAGCTGTCGCAAACAAAGGACTGTTGCACCGTCAGAGCGTGCCCGGCTGATGCGCGGCAAGTCTGGGAGGCCTATTGGCTATTTGACACATTGGCTTATGCAAGGTCCAGCATGCGCAGATTCTTCTGAGCACATTCATTCTTGTGCTGATCCTACTCTGGCGGAACGACAGAGAGCGAGGCAAATTTTTAATGCCATCCAGGGAGCACAAGATTTCAGTAGGAAAGCAGAGTTTCCTCTGAGCCCTGGTGACCCAGAAGAGCCAGTCATCACAAGCTGATACAGTCAGACCTTGCTCCAAGTTCCTGAAAAGCAAGACTTGCAGGCCAATCTAGTTTTCATCCATGTTTGTTCAGAACTGTTGGTGAGATGTCAGAGTCAGAACCATAGTCATTGCCATAGTCATAATCACAGTCCTGATTGTAGCATACTCTAGCCGCTGTTCTCATAGTCGAGGATTCTGCGAGCCTGAAGAGGCCAGAACAAAAACGGTTGCCATGCGCATAATATTATCTGGTCTTATCGCAAGGAAGACTACTCCAGCATGCCAGCATAGTTTCTGATTGTGTGCAGGATCTTTCTGTGCTTCCTCCGACGGGACATGTTCACCGTGGATCAAGGCCGTGCATGGCAAGGCTTACTTCAGGACTTGGGCGCACGGTTGCTGAGATTCCATGCTTAGGCTCGCTCAAAAGACTCTAGAGGTTGTGTGTGTGTCTTTAAATGTACATGAGCAAGTATTTACAGTAAGTGTTCCATCTGTTGTTCATTCCATCTTCAGGCTCACAGCGGACACAGGTTGTAGTGTGTGTGTGTGTGTGTTGCGTCTGTTTCTATGGTTCCACTAGTCTAGTCACTAGTCACTGGTCACTCGTCTCTAATATCCATAACACTCAGCTGAACACGCTGAGCCTGAAACCTTGCCTTGGGCCTTAGCCGCCTTAGCCCCGATCTTGGAACCAACATGTCAAAACTCGCGAACGCTTGCAGCCTGTTTTTGCCTCAGAGTAGGTCCAGGCAATACCACTATAATTCTTCACTATGAACCATTAATACTCGACATCTCGCCTAGTGGACTCTAGCAACTTAAGCCCCTACATTCCCTACATTCCATAACAACACAAAGTCTCCACTTCCCTGTCGAGGATGTCTGCAAAAAGCAGTCGAGGATGCGGCCGAGAGATGTAGCGGAGTTCTTGGAACCATGTGGAAGTGATCTTTTGAAGAGCTGGAGCGATTTGCGACTGGGCAAGGGCAAGGGCAGTATGTGTGCCGGGTATTGTTGGGAGCCTGTGGGATTCTTGCAGTCTTCTGAGACTCACACGGACTTGTATGGCTATCGGTTATGGCCGGTTATGGGTGCTATTCTATGACTCTATGACTCTATCTATGACTAGGACTAGGACTAGGACCTTGACTAAGACATGGCGCATGCCAGCGCCCGAACACTCAATAGTTCGGTTCTGTATTGTTATTATTCTAGATTCTAGAGTCTATATTCTGCATAGTAATATAGATTCTATATGATTCTAGGTTCTAGATTCTTTATTTTGATATCTATACTAATCTATACTAAAGAATTATGGAATATTATTAGGGATTATAATTTCTATATAATGGCTTCCGGCTTAGTCTTAGTAGCCGTCTTCCTGCTTATTCGGCTGTAATGGACTGACTATTTGCTTGCGCGTGTCATGTTTGACCAGGTCAACCTTTCAATCAGTCACTCACTCTCAGCCTCGTGCTATGTGAAGTGCAAGGTGCAGTGCAGTGACAGTTGACATCAAACTTTCAATCCACTCCACCACTCACCACCAACACCACCGACCACCACCGCCACACTAACCTACACCCATAATGTGTGTTTTGGGAAAAGACAAACGACTCGCCTGAAACCTGTTCCGGGGGCTGGGGTGGGGACTTGTTCGGGCTTCGGGTTGGTGGCGGTGGCTGGGCATTTTAGGGTTTAGCTTCTGCCGGGGTTTCGGGTTGGTGGAGGTGGCTCGGCATTTTAGGGTTTAGCTTCTGCCTGGGTTTCGGGTTGGTGGCGGTGGCTGGGCATTTTAGGGTTTAGCTTCTGCCCGGGTTTCGGGTTGGTGGCCGTGGCTGGGCATTTTAGGGTTTATTTAGCTTCTGCCCGGGCTTCGTGCCTCGGCATTTTAGGGTTTAGCTTCTGCCGTACCCCGGGGTGGCCGTGGGGGGGGTCCAGAAGGGGGCGGCAGGGCAGAGTTGGGTGGGCTGGAAATACGAAAAAAATACGAGCCGGGCCCCTGGGCCAAGCCCAGGGGCCCGCCCGGGCCATTTGGCCGGCCTGGAGGTGTGGATTCGTATTTTTTCCTATTTTCCCTAGGAAAAATACAAAAAAATACGAATAAAATACGAAAAAAATACAAAAAAAATAGGACCAGCCTAGGGGAAAAATAGGAAAAAAATAGAGAAAAAGTACGATCGAAAATAGAAGAAAAATACGAGCCGTGCAGAGGGTCCGCGGCCGTGGCCCGTGGAAAATACAATAAAAATACAAGAAAAATACGAATCTGCGGCCGGCCTGGGAGCTGTGCCGGGCACCGGCCGGGCCCCAGGGCCGGGGCTCGGGCCGGGGCAACGCTGGGGCAGGGCCGGGGCCGGGGCTTGGGAGCCGGGGCCAAGGTGAAGTTTAGGGTTGAATTTTGGGTTGGTGGCCGTGGCTGGGCATTTTAGGGTTTAGCTTCTGCCATACACCGGGTAAGCGTGGCCGCTGGGCAACGACAAAAAAACGAACTTGCACTGCGCGTTGGCCCCAACCCCCCCTTGCCCTTGCCTGGATGTGGATGTTCCCCTTTTGTCCACTATGACAGATGTAGAGTTGTAGTTCTTGTAAGCAGTCCTTCGTTATTTTCACCAGTGACCATTGACCAGTGATGCTATTGCTGCCGCTGCTATTGCTTCAAGATGTACTGATGTGCCCTGTCAGGATCCAAAGCAGAACGGTGTCAGCATTGCCAAATGGCAGGTCCAGTCGAGCACGCTGAGATCGGCTACCGGGGTTTCCCAGGGATGGAACGGTTGGACTTCCTTGCCGGGTTTCCGGGCCGAGGGAATCAGCTTGACAAAGCGAGTGCGAGATTTGATAGATGTGGGAGCAGCTAAGCACTTGATGCGTTCTTGTGGCGCGGTGGCTTTGGATGCTGCCACCATGAAACAAGAGCTTGAACATGTTTATGCTGATGTATCCCAGGGGCATCGCCGGCAACCTTGGACCAAAACGAGCTTCTGCAGGGCAACCCAGAAATGTGTGACAC